CAGCTCCTGGGCGGCCGTGTGCCCCAGCTCCATGGCCTGCACACGCTCCTAATCAAATACAAGCAAAAATATGTATGTTAAAAACTAAAATTGCTCTCTTACTATGGATTACATCCCTGCAAGGCAAGTTCATTTATATAGCAACGCAACCAAGTAACAAAAAATCATCAAAAGCATTGAGACAAAGTGCAACAAAATCACATTAGAAAATGTAATATTGTAAATCTAAATACAAAATTATATTTCATCGTAAGATATACAAAGTTTTTTTTTATTTAATAAAAGGCAGTGGCTAATTGAAAAGTCCTACTGATTTAAAAAAAGGTGTGATCTGCAGTTGTGGAGCATAATAACTAAACTTCTCCAATCATGTGCATTCAGAAAAGGGGATCAAGTGTAGAGCAGACACTAGCGGCATTTAAAACAGCTAGAATCTGTAAAAAGAGAACTGCTTCAAAGTTATTTTTGTTGTGTCCTGTCCGCAAGTGAGTGAGTCACCACTAAATGAAATAGCTGTCCTGTGTAGAGCCATTGGGGACAGATGTTGTTGTTGTTGTAATAGCTCTGGTCAGTAAGCCCGAGGTCACTATTTAACAAAGCATTAATGTTTTGTTTTTCGTAGCTACACATTGAAAATACACTATATAAAACATTTAAATAGGACGGTTTAAAGTGGTTCCTTTCTTCGGCTAGGTATGACCAGCAGTTTCTGAAAGCAAACGTTAGGTTAATACACCTACTACTGAATCATGTCGTTGTCTCTACTTGTGCTACCTATAGAAGTATTTGGAACGTGAATATAGTAACTGTGATGTCACCCATGGCATTGTGAAGTAACATTTTCAAGCCTTGAGTCTGTTTTTCTGGCCATTGCCATCTCGTTTTGTTGGAGCAAGAAGTGACCATATTTGGAAAACAGGGTGGAGCTAGGAGGCATCTTTCCTCGTTGACAGGTCGCAGTGGGACCATCATTTACACAAATAAACATGCTGTTTTTCTTTACTTCAAACTCTAAACTTTAACCTCTTTAGAAAATGTTAACTAAGGGAATAAATGAAGTAAGAAGTTGGGTCTATTTTTCGTAGTCTTCTATAAAACCTGACTTGATATATGGCCCCCTGCTGGCCAATTTAAAGGTATGCATGTTTAACACACTACTGCATTGGCTTCACTTTTCAATCTAGCGTCTACGTCAAATTATTTTTACAGTATTTGGCGCCACTGTAACATTAGTTATTTGTTTCAAATAAATGCTTGACCGTAGTTTGTGTATGGGATAATGTGCAGCGAGGCGGTCATTACTAAATAAAACACAGACAGAGAGCCCACACTGTGGTACTGTTAATGTTGACTTCCTGTCTGTCTTCTTCTGACGTCCAGTGCTCTGTCTTTTAACCTCTTCCGTATCCACAAATATAAAAATTAAAATTCCCAAACTATTCCAGTGTTTTCAGATGGAGCAATCTAGTGTTTGCTGTCCACAGCTGATCAACCAGACTTTTTTCTGCACATTTTCCCTTGATCCTCCTTATCAATGGTCATGTTCTCACTAGCACCGATAGCGAAAAATAACAAACCTCTGGAATGCCTAAATTGACAAATCAAGTATTTACCATGTAATAATTACATTTGTTTTCCTTAAAGATTTCATTGTGCTATTTGGGTGTATAATGTGAGGGGTTTTTTTTGTATTGATTTTTTAGTTTTGGGATCTGATTGTTTTTTTGAGGGTGCAAGATGGAAGTGGGCGCATTCTGATCCAGAGGTCAGAGGTTAAATCCCTGCCCCTGCAGTTTACATAATGAAGTGTCCTTGGTATAGAGTGAATGGTATAGAGGTACAAAGATACACTCTGGTTTAATTGTCTTCTTATTTAACAATTTATATTTAAGTATCATATAAAAACACATTATCTCTCGACTGAATGCACAGAGATGAAAACATATTACCTTAGTTTTTCTCTTTTGGCAAAACAGCAAACAAATGTGGACTTACTCCTCTTATGTTTGGATATAAGGACGTATGCAGACCTGTTCACAGAGCTGGAGCTGCTCCTGCAGGTTTCTGATGACCGCTTCCTCCTCCAGCGTGCCGCTCTCCACTCCTGAAGCCACCGGCAGGACATGAAGCTGCTTCTCGACCGACTCCCTCAGCTCTGCATGCAGCCTGGCAACAGGAGAAAGGTCATATTAAAAAATATGTAATTAGATAAAGTTCATGATCTAAAAAAGAATACCAAACCTTAATTAAAGTCCACAAACCACACTTTATTTGCCTGTAAAATGGAGATAAATATAACAAGTTAAAGTAAATGTCTTATAAAAGACAAAGCAAAATATAGAAATACAAATAGTGTATAAAGTGCTAAGTAAAAAAGTGCACATTGTACTACAATACTACTAACTAAATGTTTTTGTGGTGGGACACAATCACTCAATGTTTATTAATGAACTCTTCAAAAACAAATAAATAATACAAGCATCTGATGTTCTTTAAAAACATATCAAATGTCAGAAAAGAGGTTGCTGGTTAACACCAGTAGAATTCTTATTTACCTTTCATTCTCCTTGACAACCCTCTCCAACTTCACTTTCACGTCTGTCACCAGCCCCTGTTGATTATAGAAAGTAGAAAAACACAGTGAAAACGTAGATTTCTTTTTTACTTAAGAAGGAAAACACACTGGAGAACCTCTTTCTTGATTGACAGGTTTCCATGGTACCATCATTTACAAAATGAACATCATGCTTTATTGAAGAATTAAAAAAGTTGGGTCATTTTTGCTTATACATCTACAAAAACGGACGTGTCTCCTGCTGTCCATTTTTAAGGAATGCTTAATAACGCACTACTGTATTGACAAACCTCTCAACTTCACTTTGACATTTGTCATTAGTTCTTGTTGATTTAAACAATAGACAAACACGTATTGTTATGGAATAGTTAAGAAACCTTATGCATATTCTATTTAAGGAGGCACCCTCTTTTCTGACTGACAGGTCGCTGTCATATCATAATTTACTAAACGAACATCAGGACATATCGAAAATTCTAGAGACCATAAACTCATTAAGAACTGTTTACTGAGGGTTTTTCTTTAGGGGGGCAAACAGCTTATAATTGATCAGATTTAGACTTAGAGAGAAGGGCGTTTAATTCATTATTCCCAGACAGTTTTCTACTACTTAACTTCCAATAATGTATGTATACATCCCTTAGTGTGTATCTATATATCTAAGTCCAGATAAAGTCCAGATATTGAATGTTTGTGAAGTTTAATTGAACTGTCCAAACTGAATTTTTGTCTAATTTGTTTGTATTACCTCGTATCTCTGCAGCTTTTCTGTCATTTCCTCCATGTGCAGATCATACTCAGCTATCAAAGGAGCCATTATACTGTAACACAGAAACAAGATCCGTCACTTTTGTACATATATATGATATGATTCTCACCAGTGCAATCATATCAACAGAAGATGGTTGTCCTTTTTACTAGGCCTGACCTTCTATCTGCCATCCAAGGTTTGGGAGCCTCGGCCCGTCTAGCATCTTCAACCTGATGATGAAGATTAAAGACGGAGGAGGTTAGAATGAGCAACAAATAATGGTTGACAGATGAGATGTATATTAACAGATGTTGTTGTTTTTACCTGAGCTGATGTAGATTGAGTACCATGCTCATACTGATACTGGCTTAGAGCAGAGTTTAATCTGTGGACTGATACAAGAAAACAGTCATACACATGTTGCTTAATTATTAGACGCCATGTTCCCCGCCCAACTGGACTATTTATGGAAAATGCAAATCATCACAAACGGGATCCTATTATTAAGCCAATTATAAAAAAGCTCCCAGGTGCTGAAAGAGCAGCCACTTTGCTTTGACAGCTCCATTCAATTCATATGTATTTGCACGTGTGTATTTTGGGCCAAGTCCTTTTTTAATGTGCATTCAAATGACTCATACAGATTCTTGATGTATAACAGCTATTTTGTTATATTGTAATGAACTAAAAACACATGATATGGCTGAACAATACATTAAATATGATCGAAAATCGAAATATTGACTGTTGCAATATACAATTCTCACACAACTCAATATCTGCTAAAGACTCTGTATGTCTGGTTTATTTTGAGCATTTTGTCTTTAATTTTAGACTTTAAATATACTAAGAGCCTTCAGCATTGCATTCCAAAAATCATGTCAGTTTGAGTATTGATTTAGGATTAAAGACCATGTCATCATAATTCAAGCAGATTATTGATGAACAACAGCAATACGGATGTAGATCTATTATTTTCTTTTATTTGAATGATCTCAAACACATGTGTTCTACAGTGTGCTGTTGGTTTCAGTAGACAAAATAGAACATATGGAGAAGTCACCATGGTGTATTAGGAATGAACGGTCTGTTATTATTCTCCATCGGAATACTTGGGCTAAACCTTTCTATAAAAATGATTTTTTTCTGATACACAAAATAGTATGTCTTCCCTGGTTTGTCCTTACCTTGATCCCGTAAAAACTTAACTTCAGCTTCCATGTTGAAGGTGCAGTCTAGATAGAAGCAACACAACGATAACGTTAGCAATTTAAAAAACCCACTAACGTAACATTTAGATTGTAAACTTAACTGTGTCAAAAGCACAAGCCCTGCTCTAACGACCTTAAAAAAAGCTGCTGAATCATAAATTAGCTTGCGTCACCTGTTGTTGCCTAGTGCAGCTAGCGCTAAATGCCTCAATCTCAGCTAACTTAGCTAGCTAACTAAACCCTCTTGACTGTTACATAAAGTGGCTATCATGTAACACAAACAATTCTAGAGAAAGGCAACACTTACGGGTTGTATACATGTATTATTTGACGTTTACATTTAGCATACGACGCTATACTGGTGTTTTTTTACATAGTTTTCGGTTGCCCCGTCTGTTTTGAAGCAAACAAATAACAACCAATGGCAGTGAAGATGTGCACCGCATAATTGCTCCGTCGAAACAGGAAAGGGAAAAGGTTCCGCTCTATGTCGGGAAGCGTCAGACGGATATATTTTTGAAGGATGTGTTGATTCAATCAATTAATATCGTTTAGTTTCGGTGCTAGTGTTATACATATGACGTTTTTCAAGAAGAAACATGTTATGTTCTTACCCTGACGTGTTAGCATGCTTCGTATTGATACAACAATAAACAGGTTAACAGGTTAGCTCTCAGTCACATGATTTGCTAACACAATAGGAGTTATGGTAAAGTTACTGGATATGTGTTGGTAAACGTAATTTGGATAATGTGTTGATCTGGTAAGACCTTCGACCACATCTTGGACACCATTAAGGTTCATTTGGATAGTTCTCAGTTTTCAATATCAGGAAGTATATTTGTACCATCTTAATAAGTTATTGAGTAACAGCACTGTATTTGTCATTTACCTAATTTGATAACAAACTGTTTGAATAGCAGAACGGGGTGTGCATTAAGACTTGATATGCCCAACTGTAGCACAGTTGAGAGCATTTTACCAGTGAGTCTTTGCAGCAGTGACAACATGGGTGTCGCTCATGGATTACAGTTTCTGACACTTATCCAGTTTGTACTATGCTGTAATTCTCTGTAAGTTTTGTAACATTTGTATGCACTGTGTCACATATCAGATTCTTATTCTGATTGATTTTTCTTTTTCAATCCTTTTAGGAAAATGCAGTATTTGATCGAGCACACCTGGGATAGCAATCCTGTGAATCATGACCCTATCAGGATCAATTTCTCTCCTGGGCAAGGAGGGCTGAAGATAGAGATGTTTGGTCCCTTCTTCAACGACCCAGTAGGTCCTGCGAGCCCCCCCAGCCAGCCCTTCCCTGGACTCTGGAATTATGAAGGTACGTAGAAAAGTAAAGCAAAGTTAGTGCTGCATCATGTATGTCTGCTACTGCAATACGCAGCTTCCTGAACATTCACCCTGAGCAAATATGTCTGTAGAAGGACAATTTATTTGACAATCTATGATACATTTATAGAAAATGCAAAAGTCACAAATTGGTACAGATGGAGTTACCTATTTACCATAGTTATATTAATTTAATTTAATTGAAATGTAATAATCATGGTGGAACCTGTCTTTTTGAATGTATCGATCATTAAATGAATAGGCCAACATTTTAGGCGCTCCAATGTTTACCCATTTGATATCTGTCCATACAACATGACACTGCAGACAGTAAGCTTGGTTAAGTTAATCTCCATAATCTACCTGCAAACTCCTCAAAATCTAATTTACATTTCTAGTATTGTTTGTTTAATCTGTATAGAAACCAAAGTGTTATAACTACAAGTTGTGGTTTACCCTTTTACCCATGGCTTAGCAATACATAGATATGGATCGATGTATAGATTCATCAGATCATTAATGCAAAGGGGAAAACATCAATATGATCATTTTTAGACAAGCCATTTTTTTTGGAAAATCCTATGGCATCTCTGTCTCACCATTTCCATCCAAGAGGACTAATTATAAAATCTTAATTTTTTTCTTTTTGTTGGCTGAATTCAATTATACTGATATTTTTTAATTGAAATCACATCGTGGCAGACTTTGCGATATCAGCAATATGGAATCATTGTCCAAAGAGTCAATATATTATTTTATTGTGATGAAACTTGTGATTTAGCCTCCCAAGTTATTATACTAAGCTACAGTAACCAGTCTTGAGCCTCAGCATCATATTGAATGGACAAATATAAAGTTGTTTATTTTCGCTCAATAAACTAAAACAAAAAGTGTTTATTAATCCAGTCTGTTGTTTTGAATCAAACGTAACCTAAAAAACTGGAAAAAAATTGCAATAGCTGTAACAGATTGCAATATGTTGTACAAGTGTTGCTTTCATGGTTCCAAAACCCCAACAGTTTGTCTTATCATAACTTGTTATCACAGTCATGATTTAAGGATTTAGTCTCTATGTGTGATGCAATTTTAGGCGAATAGAAAAGCTGAGATATAATCATGAACATATTACAATGATGTTGTAGAGATGAGAGACGAGCTCTGTTTATGAGGCCCTAATAGTGATTGTATTATCATTATTATGGTGACACAGCAATTAAACTTTGTAATGAGGTTGAGTAATAACAATCCTATCTAATTGACCTAAGTAAGTTCGATTTCCGGTTAATGAGCCCCACATATTTGACCTCATTAATGCTACTTATTAGATTTGAAACCATTGCCATTATAATCTAGATAATGAGCATGCTACGAGGTGAGCTGGTCTTCGTATCTTTTTTAAATGTTTGTACATAATATTATTAGGCTGACTCAAAATAAATCACTGAAATTATTTAATTATACTTGATTAACTACTCTTCTTCCTCTTATCAGTTGTGGAGTGCTTCTTCCTCGATAGCACTACAGTAAATTACCTTGAAGTGGAGTTTTGTCCGTAAGTATTTAGCTAATTTCTAACAACCACATGACCATACGTTTTTAGATATTCTTTAAACAATCTGTTTTATTTTTATTTTAGACATGGACAGCAACTGATATTGTTGCTGTCAGGAGTTGGCCAAGCATTCCAGGTAGGCAAACATTGAGGGAGTGGTTGATAAGGGGCAGCGGTGCTTTGAGTCAAGTATTTATTCTATTTGTCTCGATATTCTTCCTCAAGCAACAACTTCCCATGGTGTTTAATGCCACGATCAAAGGGGACAGATGGATGGGGGAGGCTCTCCTCCCTTGGTCGTACTTGCCCCCCAATATCAACAAGATGAACTCCTACGCTATCCATGGCTCAGGTGAGGGGCGCACATATGAGGCTCTCTACCCCATCCCCAAGGAGGACATAGTGGAAGGCCAAAAACCCAACTTGTGAGTATTCAAACTCCTATGAGGTCATCTAAACTTAGATTTGTTTATGTCCAGCAATTTAGTATTTCACTTTCATGAAGTTTGGGAAGATTCATGAAAAAGTGGTCAAAAATAAGCTCCAAAAACATCGGATTCTAAATGGCAACTCCATGGCGTCTTTTGGTAGACCTTCACAGAAATTATCCCATCTATCTACCTTTACACCCAAATTGTAAGTGTCAAGACCCATCAAAGATAACCCTGGTGATGTCATGTATTCCTACAGCTTAAAGAAATATGATTTAAGATTGTTTTAATGCCACTCAAAAAAAAGAAAGTGATGATTATTTAATTGTATTGGAACACCATTAACTTTCCTTTCAAGGCAGAATGCAGGTTGCAAAAGACCTTTCTGATTGATCCTATCACTCTTTTAAGTCCAATTTTTCTACTCTCCGAAATCTGCAGGACCTTCATGTGACTTGCACATGGTAAAGAAACAAAATGTATAGTAGTTGTTCCCATTTGTTTTTGAAATTTAACAGTGCAATGTCAGTACAGAAACTATTAATTTAACGTATTCTATTAATACCGATTGAGGCCTTGTTTTATATTAATAAACTCAATGCCATTTTATACTTTTTAAACATTCCTCAGCATTCCTTGTCATAAGCAGTACTTTGTTTTAGTTTTTTCTCGAGTTCTTAAGACCTTCCTTCAGAGGCAAGAGGGAGAGTTTACAGCTGTTTTTTATAGGCAGAATTATAAACTTAATTTCATATAGATAAATTAGCCGATAGCCTCTCGAATCTTTTTACTTTATTTAAAGCATAGCATAAAGTACAGGCCAACTTGCATTTTTTTATTTGCTATGAGCCAACACCTTGCTAGGTAATTAAACTTTAAACAAGTATAGCTCTCTGAGAGCACAGGTCCTTTTAGAGACCAATGTTGCATTCACATACTTTTGTATGATTGTCCCTTTTCCAAATTTAGGGAGTCATTTGTCCAATTTCAGTGTGTTCCTAAAATGGAAAGAACATTGACGCTTAAATAAATATTTGCTGTTTTCTATTGCTTCAAACCATATGAGTGTAATTTGCCACAACTCAGCTAGTGATACCAAAACTTTGGGAGATTTTCCATTGTGGTTACGACATACATTTTCTTAGTCAGGAACTAATTTATCGAGTATTCCAACAGCACCTGAATTCAGCACAAATGTCCTATCCGCAATGTTTACGAAAGTGAAAAATGATTTGTATATCTGCGCCATGGTTAGGATCCAATCCAACATTTAATAAGTTCTTCCTATGCCCATGTTACACTCTTCCACCAAATTAGGCCAGTAGTTTTTCCATAATTCTGCTGTCTGACAGACATGCCTAGCGGAAAACATGACCTCTTAGGTAATGTGATGTGCAGTATATTTGTGTATGAATGTGTAAATGTGTATGTGAGAGTTGTGTGCATTCTATATTAAATTCTCTCTCTGTATCCTAGCCACCGCCTGGAGTATTTCCAAAATTTCCGCCTCCAAAGCATCATGGGAGAAGGTTGGGTCCAGCCAGATTCTGATCTGTGGATTGGAAAGCCATGAGCTCTTAAAAAAACACTCCTCTCTCTTGCACACAAACACACACACACAAACACACTACGGCGGCAGGCCCATATTACAAACACTCATTGACGGGGAACAAAGGCCAATCAATCTTTATTAGTTAATGATGCCAAACGATATGACGCAAAATATGTTATCAGCCTGTCAGGGTGTATTAGCCTTCACACACCTCGGTAGGTACAAGCACACAGTCACGTACATATCCCAAGGTATTGGGCGTCAGCTTAATTTGCTTCGGCAGAGTGCGACCTGCACCACTTAAACTGTGGATGGTGCGAAGGCTCGCTTTGACATTCAGCTCCTGTGTAGCCTGTGCCTTTCACTCCAGTGAAGTAAACCACAACAGGTTCTTGTGATTCCTTGCCCTGACTGCTAACGGACACACACAAACAAATCATACAAACAGTGAGGTCAAAATGTCTTTGTTAAAGCTTTTGAATCAGTGCTTTATTGTATAAGGATCATTTTGCATTCCAATTGCATTAACCTTTAATGAGTTGCATTTGCAATTAAACATTTTTACATCTGCTGGTGAAGTGCATTGTCTTTTTTTCCTTTTACTGTATGATTAATTTTGCCGCTTTAATTGTATCTGAAGTGTCATCACGTTTCAATATGCGCTATCACACCGGAGTACTTTTCCCAAGATGAGTGCAAACCACACCCCGTAAAACCCCATTTTATTTGCTCGCATTAGCATCATTAGCATCATTAGCATTAGCCCAGCGCACCAACGGAGTGAGACTAATTTATGGCAACACAAAAGAAAACATGGGAGCGGTGGACTGATGAGGAGGTGTCGGCGCTTCTGGCGATTTACTTGGAAGACGCTACCCAGCAGCTTCTACTGAAGCCAGTCCTCAACCTCGGGGGACTCCGTGACTTCGGGTGGCAGTATACGCCGTGAAGTTGTTTGCGGCCTGCCAGTAAACCCAAAGCTGAAGAAGAAGTGATGTCAGCGGCTTCATTTGCGTAATCCTCCCTCGGGGACTTATTCCGGTGAGAACGCGATCTACTAGGACAGTTCCAGGGACTAAAGAGTTCGGGGGGACTAAGTAACGCAAAGTACACAAGAAGACACTCATCACGAGGTCACAATATCAATTGATCCAGCAGAGCAATAGCCTATAGGCAAAACACAGAAGATCAACAAAATATGACATAAAATGAATTTACCATGCTGAAGTAGATGGTCAACTTCCTTCATTTTCTTTCCGTTTTACTGATTTTAATCGCCATAAGATGCTCTCTCTCGTCTCCTCTTCACATCTAAACTTTTCGCGACACACATACTTACAGCCAATCAGCTCTCTGAATTATGAGATGACGTTTGGTGGGTATGGCAGCACAGTGCCCCTATGGTGATTATTTTGTTGCCGCACAAATTGAATAGAAAAATACTCTGAGCGTGCGCAGTGTAGTTTTTACAGTACACGTTCATTTTAACAGCAGAGAGAGGGGCATGCCCCACATTGCTCAACACGGCTCAATAGGCAAACTGTAGACACTAATTAGACCAACACAGACTAAAACAGCAATGTACATAATAATCAGATGATTAAACATGATTTAAAAAATATATTTTAACATGTATTTATTTTGCATATCTTGGGAATTATTATTTGCATTACTTTCTGCTGACACTAGGTGGGGCTCTGCCCCTAATGACGAGTTGCCACTGCCAATGAACAATCTTTTTCTATACCAAACCAAGTAGTATTGTTGCCATTTGGGGGAAAATGCATTAAAGAAAGACACCAAGGGGTCTTTATCAAAGATTTGACGTATGGTCTCAATGACATCATGGATGATGTACCTGAAGAGTTGTGAAGCTCACGAAGAGGGCTCTAAACCATCTAACTTCCGGCTAATCCAAAAATGGATGTCATCTAAGTAATTGAGGTAAGACGAAACAGTGAAGACAGCTAGCCAATAGCCTCCAACCCAGTCTCACGGCATTTCGTGTTATAGTCACAACATTTCATCTATTGATTCGTGTTCACCAACACGATTTCCCCCTTTTTATCATGTCACACAGAACGATTTTAAAAGCAATGTATTTCGATTGGTAGTATGTGTTGTGCCTGCACCACGTCTTTTTGTCGGGTCTTGGAAGACCAGAAGCTGTTTGGTTCATAAAAACATGTTCTATTTTAAATTCTATAATGTCGGACTTTTTTGCCATCCGTGAGGAAAATAAATGGGGCTCAGAGCCTCAGAATATTGAAATCGGTATTTTTTCAATCTTTTTTTCCTTCTAATTTGTTATTCTTCTCTAAATAACACACTGTTATTTACTCAACAATAACACACAATTATCCTTGTTTTGTCTTATCTTTTTTGCCGTCCGTCAGGAACTGAATTTCAAAATAAAGTCACCGGAAACAGACATTTCGATACACACCCACTGAACTGATTACCCAAGATGCTCAGCTATGATTGAAGCTCAGTGATTGGATGTTTTAGCCGCAATGCACGTTGGGATATGGTGTTTATGCGATATGAAATCAGAAAACATTTAACAAAAAGAAAATAATACTTTAATCCGAGTGTGCTTGTTTTTCTCTTTGGAAGTCATCACATAACGGCATTGTAATACACCGTTCGGCTGCATTAAATATTACACATCTGCCGTAGTTCTTTATTTATAGAGCCCTGATGAGAAGACTTCTGGACAAACTGGAAGAACTGCCACCGAAACTGATTACGTGACGTGAAACATAAATATATCAGCAACCACCTAGTGGTTAAAGCACGTTATTGCATTTTTTTGTTGAATATGTTATATGTGATTAAATGAAAAGCACGTTATTGCATTTTTTTGTTGAATATGTTATATTTGATGAAATAGCCTCCAATAAAACATATTAAGAGTACATAAAGTAGAAGGTCAATGATATACATTGTGACGAAGGTAACTTTGTCACTGATGGCTTCGGGCCTTGCATATGTGCACATGTTTATATTATTGATTGATGTAGTGTTTATTGTATTTTATTTTGAAATGTGTTCCCCTTTCCCATGTCTGTTGCCATTGATTGTGTGCACCTGGTGCTCTGTGGTGTCTCCTCCCCCCTCACCTGTGTCCTGTTGGGTTGATTGGGTTGGGCATTTAGGCTCTGGGGTTTTGCTGTTTGGGAGAGAGTGTGTGTGAGATCCTTGTGGCTGTGGTCAGGGAGAAACGGCAGGATTGAGGCTGTGTGTCATGTGTTCCTGACTTAATAAATGCCCACACCGGGTTGTATTTTGGACGTTCTGCCTCTGCCTCCTTGCTTGGTCGGGCCGCTCAATTGTCAGCTTCACAGAAATATAGAATATAAAAAATCAAGAAGATTCATTAATTATATGTTTTAAATTTGATAACACCAATGTGTTTCCTATCCCCTAAACCTCCAGGGATGTACACAGTTTAATACTGGCAACTTCTGATTATGGGAAATACGAAAACGTCTTTTAAAACTAGAATTCCCAGTAGAGACGTGTTGTGAAACACAATTAGCCAGCATAGTTCTGGGGGGGGGGGGTTGGGCTGGACCCGTTCGAGTCCTATTTTGGCAACACACTCTCACTCCCTAAATGTCCTGGAGCGACGCTTGGTCAGGGTCCCGTGGCGTGCAGCTGAGACGCGCCGAGGCTCCTTCAGCTTCATAAACGGACGCAAAGAGCTTTCAACTGATTGCAATGTATTCCCATCGGCGGCGGTATTTGACGCTCATGGAAGCACTGCATCGGTCCCTGTCGGCGGCTGTTAAAGGCAATATGAGCGTCCATTCCCATTGGATAACGGAGAATTGTACATCCGGAAGTAAGTATTCTCCTTACTGTCGATTGATTTGACAGTGATATCTCCACTACTCATCAACTCAAAAACACTATATTATCCTTGTTAATTAAACGACATTGATAGGTTTAAATTGTGTACAATGCTTTTGTGTTTTTCCCCTTCAATTCTGAGAAACAACTTGTTTTCTCTGAAATGTTGAGCGCCAATGAGACTACACCCACAATCCCCAGCTATTGTTGTGACGACACTTGTCCGCTTTGCGACAAACCTCGTGATAAGTCAACAAGCTCTGTGATTGGATGAAACATAAATTCATACAAAAAAAATCCAACCCTGTCTCCTAAAAATTACAGTCCCACAGAACTACACTGCATTCTCAATTACGTTTAGCTAGAAACGTATTTTCTCCCACGTTAGGTTTGTTATGAACGTAACTTAAATACGTTTATTTTCTACATATCTGTCATTTATTGTTGTCTTGCTTATAATAATGATAATAGTCATTTATAAATATCATTTAGAGCACACATTTGAAATCGAGAATCGGGCTCGATAGGCTATATCAGGGGTGCCCAACCTTTTTTGAACCGAGAGCTACTTTTAAAGTTGCCAGTCTGCCGAGATCTACCAGTCCAAATAGAGAGGCGTAGCCATTACTGACAGCCTACTACCAGGTGAATACACACTTCCACTTGTATAAAACTGACCTTTGTACGATTAATACTTCATAAAATACTGCAGATCCTTTATCTTACCTATTTCTAATCTACACACATACAAGTATTTAACTGAAGTTACACAACAGTGTTGTTGATACAGAGTTGGAGTTTATTCACACGTCACACTACAGTGGGTAATGTTTTCAAGAAACATTGAACAGTGCTGCCACATATGACACAGGGAAAAAGAAAAGACTCTGAACCCTTTCTTTGCCATTATATAAAAATAGTGTTGCTACAAAAGTATAAATTACACTTACTAATAAGACAACTCAGATCTGAAGCTACACAGGAATCTGCTGCCAAAGTGCAATAAAAAAGACACAATTAATAGAATCAAACCCTTTTTTTGTTGCATTTTAGTAGAATATAAAAATAAATGCCTTTAAAAAATAGGATGCAAGCAACACTAGTTTCTTAACCTGAATTGATAATAGACTATAATCAATTTAAACAGAACAGATCTTAATGTTTGCATTCTTATACCATTTTGTACAATAATTATAATGAATAAGTTCAAACAAACTAAAACTTACAGCTGATTAATAACGGTATCCAACTTGAGTTTTTATTATGTCAAAAACCTGTTGAAATGCTAGTTATTTTTACTGTCCCCAAAAAGCGCATCGGCAGCCTCCAGCAATGCTTCTTTCACAACTTCGCCGTCTTTGAAAGACTTCATGTGTTTCGCAAGAACGTGACTGACACGATAAGATGCTCTGGTAGCAGCCTTGCTCTTGTTGTTGGGCCTGGTGAAAATGGACTGCTGTGCATTTAGCTGTCCTTTCAGGCCCCTCCCCTTTTGGGAGCGTAGGGCAGAATTAGGAGGGAATTCCGTCTCGTAGCGTTTGTGCACTGTTTTGAAATGCCGCTCCTAAATTACCCTTCTTCGATAAAGCCATGCTCGCATTGCAGATGAGACAGATGGACTTTGAATTGGAATAGATACAAAAATAATCATCCTCCCACTCGGAGTGAAAATCATATATTTTTGGCTTTTTTGCTTCTGCTATAATTGCGGTCTTGTG